TTAGGAGTCCTTTTCTATTACTCACTCCCCCTCCAATTTTTTGAGACAGGGTCTCTCTGAACCTAGAGCTCACCATTTTGATGACACCAGCAGGCCAGCAAGCTCGACCTGTCTCCATTCCCCAGCACTGGGGTCCAGCTGTGCTCTGCTAGTCCCTTTTACGTAGGTGCTGGGGATCCAAACACAGATCCCCAGGCTTGTTCAGCAAGCACTTTACCCAGCTAGCCATCTCTAGCCCCACTGAACTAAGTTTGTATAGCTATCCGTCATAGTTTATTACTTCTTTCCCCAGTTGTCTTACATTGGGTTTTCTCTGGGTGGTTTTATTGCACATGGGGGGGTCCGTATCTTGCATTTGGATTAAACGTTTGATTTAATTTTTATTACGTTTATTTGTCTATTTATGCGGGTGTGTTATACATGGGGAAAGCAGAAGATAACTTGCAGGAGTGAGTTCTCTCTATTCACTTGTGAGGGTTCTGGGGATTGAACGCAGGTCACCAGACTTGATGGGAAGCCATTCTACCCACTGGCTTATCTCACTGGCTTTTATTTGTTTGTTTATTGGCAGAGACTCAGGCTTGCTATGTAGCCAGTTTTGACCTTCAAATTGAACTCTAGATCCTCCTGCCTCCACCCACTGAGTGCTGGGATTACAAGCATGGACCACCACACCCAGTTTATATGATGATGGAGAGAAACCTTGGGATTTATTCAGGTAGCCAAGTCCTCTATCAAAGGAGCTACATTTCTAAGCTTTTGGGGTCGAGTTATAAGAGCAGGTCTTTTTTTTTTTTTTTTCTGAGACAGGGTTTCTCTGTGTAGCCCTGGCTGTTCTGGAACTCACTCTCTAGACCAGGCTGGCCTCGAACTCAGAAATCCGCCTGCCTCTGCCTCCCAAGTGCTGGGATTAAAGGTGTGCGCCACCACCGCCGCCCGGCAAGAGCAGGTCTTAACTATATAGCGCAGGCTGGTTTCAACTGCTTGGTAATCCTCCTGGCTCAGTGTGATGTTTTGTATGTGCTTGGCCCAGGGAATGGCACTATTAGGAGGTATGGCCTTGTTGGATGAAATGTGTCACTGTGGGTGTAGGCTTAAGACCCTCATCCTAGCTCCCTGGGAGTCAGTCTTCCACTAGCAGCCTGCAGATGAAGATGTAGAACTCTCTCTCAGCTCTGCCTGCACCATGCCTGCCTGGATGCTGCCATGTTCCCGCCTTGATGATAATGGACTGAACCTCTGAACCTGTAAGCCAGCCCCAATTAAATGTTGTCCTTAGAAGAGTTGCCTTGGTCATGGTGTCTGTTCACAGCAGTAAAACCCTAACACAGTTTCCTTAATGCTGGACTTTTAAGTATGTTCCACCGTGTCCAGCTGTAGGTAGATGTTTCTTAGATGTGCATATATATGTGTATGCACGCACACGTGCGCGCGTGCGCGCACACACACACACACACACACACAGAGTTATATTGTTGAAGAATCCCTGTTGTATAGATAAGAGAGAAATGTTTTCCCTTGGATTCAGGCTCTCATCATATTCTATATATCCTCCCTCGAAGTCATGCATAAGAACAGAGTTGGAGGCTGGCAATGGCAGAACCCAGCTGGAAGAGGAAGGAATCTAGTTGGGATGAGAGGAACAGTGAAGATGGCTGACACTGGAGCCCCAAAATAGGATGTGAGCACTGGGTGGGAGGCATGAACTTGGAGCCATGGCCGGGGTCCCCAGGTGTGGATATCCTTAGGTCAGGATACATGGCAGGTGACTATCCTTAGGTCGGGGTGTCCTATACACCCTATGAACTGTGGCACTTACCCACAACTCTGCCATGTTGCAAGTTCCCCCTGAAGGATGGTCCCAGGCTGGAGGCCTGGCTGCAGCACATGGAGTGTGAGCACTGGGTGTCCACCTGCCACCAGTACTTTAGTGAATGAGCATTCCACACCCTCCTGCTTCCAGTGCTGATAGGGAGTTCACTTCCTGTGGCATGATGCAGTACCATCTATCTCCTCCAGGGCATCAGCTGACACTGTACGGAGGTCCCCTGTAGAGGCTAATCCCAACCCTCCCCACCAGGGGAATAACCAAAGGTCTGGACTCCAGCCTTCTGCCCTAAGGCAAGTCCCTTTTTGATTCTGTCCCTCAGTCTTCCCCCCACCCCCAAGGGGCTGTAGAGGCTGACCCCAGCTCTTAACAACTAAAGGAATGCCCCTTGGGGTATTGCCCTGATGCCCTAACAGCTCCTCTCCATCTTGTCTTCCAGAACCAAGAAACAGGAGCACCAAGAACCCTGTGGCATTCCCATTTCCCCCTGGACAGGAAGTGCCACCCGTGTCCCTGGAGCCCAGCAAGGTCCTAGGCTCAAGTTTTAGTACTGCTGGAATACGAGAAGACCTCGTGGTGGAATGTGAAGCCCCCAGACTCACGGAAAGGGGATTGGAAAGGGGCTCCATGTACTTCTAGTAGAGGAGTCTCCAGTGGGGGGAGGGTTCTGGTAGGGGGTGTTGGACACACCCCACAGGCAAGACTGTGGTCACAACATTGCTTTCAGATGGTTTGTTTGTGGTGACTTAGGAGGAGACAAAGAGCACTGGGTTCATTTTCCCAGGCGACAGTGGTCAGACGGAGCAGTGGAGTGGCTAGCCTGGGCCCCAGTAGTACAGTGGGGCTGAGACAGAGCTCAGACTGAAGCCTGGGGCTCTCTACGGAGCTTGCTGGGGTCCCCGGACTGACACTGCTTCTCTCTACTTCCCTGTCCCCATTCAGTGTCTGCCTCCTCCTGATCCATCTCATCCCCGGCATCTCCTCCGCAGTCCCCGACTTTCTGCCCCCACCGTGCTGTGTCCCATCTGTCTTCCCAGACCCCCAAGTCACTCCTCACCTGTATCTCTACATGGCTTTGTCTGTCCTTGTTAGTCCTCCCTGCATTTATCGTCCCACCCCCCAGCCCCATGACTGTCTCTGGCCTCACCTCTGCTCCCCTGTCTCCGCACATCTCTCCAGCCCTAACCTTGCTGTTCCTCACAGTATGCCTTCTGTCACCCGCGGAAGGCCTGCCACCTGCCACCTTGGAAGCTAAGCCCAAGCTCCTGGACACTCAGATAGATACCCAGTGTGTAAGTGACAGAGTGACAATGTTGACAGAGTTAGAAGATGGAAGAGTTATCACTCTTGGCATTGGCCTGGCCTGGCCTTGTGGCTCACACCTGGGGAGGAGCATCTGTCACACTTGAACCCTGTATGTGGCCTTGGACTAACTTGCCCCTCATCCCTCTTCCCCCTGGGATGCCCATGCTCTGGGGTGACCATCCCCTGCCACGCCCAAGCCAGACTCTTCGTATTCTGTAAAGAAAGCTCTGAACAGGACAAGAGTCATCTGCTCGAGGGGTGCTGTGCCTGGTTCTGAAGGGCCCTGGTGTGCCATGCCATGCCTGCTGTGGGGTGACACAGCCCCAAACCATCCATGCCTTTGAGTTCATGTCTGCTTGAGTAAAAGGTGAACTAGTAAACTAATAAACCAGATCATTCCAAACCAACAACAAGTGAAGACGTGTGGTTGATGGCAGGGTGTCTGCGGCACCCGGGTAGAGAGGGAGCCAGTGTGGAGGGCACTTGGGCCAGTGTGAGAACGACTCTGCAGAGCCCCTACCATCTTCCACAGTAAGGAAGTCTGGATTGCCTTAGAGAAAACCTAAGGGGCGGGTACAGTTTTTATAGAGAGTAAAGCTGTCACTGAAAAGGTACTTGTGGGTAAGATATTAAGAGGGAAGGGAGAGAACCACCCAGGGGTCTGTGGGAAGAGTTTCTAGGCAGAAGGGACGGGGAGGGTGTGGTGCAGCCGAAGTGACGTGAACTTAGTGGATCCTAGGAGAAGGTGAAGATGCAGAGGGGACAGGCATGTTCACGCAGGGCCATTATGGGCTATGCTGGACCATGGGGGAGAGGGGAAGGACTGCATCTGTGTCTGGGTGTTGGTAGTGGTGATGAAGGTGGAGGAAGAAGAGGGGGGAACAGGAGGAAGAGATTGTGTTTGTTTCTTGCTATGTTGCCCAGGTTGGCTCTGAATCAAAGGCCTTCCTCTTCAGCCTCCTAACTGCCCGGGTTGTAGGCCTGTACCACACCTACTAACACAGGCTATATTACCAGGGTTGGTGTCAGGCAAGCAAATGTGTCTGACTCCAGGAAGGTCTGGAAGCGGAGCTTGTTAGTAGGGCGCCAGTTCAGCCAGGCTGAGGACAGAGAGAATAGAAGAGGCTGCTGCTGTAGTCCAGGCCAGGGAGCAACAAGAAAGAACCTGGATGAAGGCTGGAAGACGGAGGACAGAATTCTGCAACTGTCTTGCAGAGGGGAGTTCCCAGTCTGCCCATTAGAAGGAAGAGATGGGAGGCCCAAGCCAGGGTGATTTGGGGTGTAGCAGGCAAGGCCAGCCAGGTGTGAGACTGAGGTGGTCCTGAGGTAGAAGTGATACCTGGTTTTAGAGATGGCACCCAGAGACCGATGGGCACCCTCGACACGACTGCAACCACAACGCTTGGTTCAAGCACCACCACCCTAGAGCAGGTGGCTAAGTAACCTTTCTGTCCTGGGTGATGAGGGTAAGAGTGAAGAGGAAGATGATTTTAAAAGAAAAGGGCCTTCCCTTACGTGGGTCGAGCATAGAAGTAGTTAGGACTGAGATTTACAAAGAGCTGACACAGTACCAGGCTCACCACTGCTCAAAACCGCCTGGTTTGCTGAGTGGAGGAAAACACCCGTTCCCACCCATGTCTTTTTAGTCCTCCTCCTGTCCCAACTCTGTGCTTGTCACATCCTTCCAGGGGACCGTCTCCCCTTCCTTCGGAGATCCTGAGTGTCTAGCCCCTTCCCGCTGCCTCCAGCGTCGGCCTCGACGCTCTGGCCCCCCCCCCTCCCACCCCCCCCCGCCCCCACGTCTTGCCACTGCGCATGCTCCGCCAGCGCCCCTCCTTCTCCATCCCCATCCCCCGCCAGCGCCAGCGTCTGGGCCTCGTCCCCTTCTCTGTGTCTCCGTCTAGTCCCCCATCTCGTCCCCGACACTGACACCCCAGGCTCCTGCACTCTCTCTTCGGTCCCAGCCTCGCTCTCCAATCCGAGGTATCCGCGCCATCCGAGGTAAGATGGGAGGCTGGGGAGAAGGGGAGGGGCGAAGCATCCTGCATCCCTAGATAAACAAACCCCGGGAGGGGGCGGCCGAGACCCAGGGGCCTGGCACCCGAAGAGAAGAAAGGGAGGCTGGGCCTGAGGGAAGTGGCAGGCGTTGGAGCCCACATCCCTGGGCCTTCTGATGAGTAACGGGGATCCCTCTGGTTGTGCAAACCCAGAGCTGGGGACCAGGAGGCCTCCCGTGGCTCCTGGAGCTTCTGTGGGCTTGGACCCCTGCGCTGTGGGCAGCCCTCTCTAGCTGACCTCTGTCTTAAGGATCTGCCTCCAGGCCACCCCCAACTTTGCACCGGCCCCCAAGGGCTACCTAGGACCATGACTAAGACGGATCCTGCCCCAATGGCCCCTCCGCCCCGAGGGGAGGAGGAAGAGGAGGAGGAAGAAGATGAACCGGTCCCAGAAGCCCCCAGCCCCACCCAGGAGCGCCGGCAGAAGCCAGTTGTGCACCCCTCGGCACCTGCTCCGCTCCCCAAAGACTACGGTAACCACTGTCCCCACCCTGGAATCCGGTCGGGAGCCTTAGGTGACGGTGGGTGGCTTGGCTGAGCTGTGTTGATGGTGGCCGCGCTGATGGTGGTCCTCCGCGGGAGTCTTAGTGGACGAGCCCTTTAGACCACTCCCCTTCGTTGATTACATTCATCTGTTAGAGAACGGGGATTGGAAAAATTCTAGTCCTCCATTCATGACATATCAATTCAGTCGTTTAGTCATTCAACAAACATTGTCTGGAAAGCCACTGAGAGCCTAACTTTATGCTAGGAACTGGAGCTACAGCACAGAGCAAGGCTTTCCTAAGGCTTTGCCGTGAGAACTCCCCTGTCGCAGCCCCACAAATGAGGCTAAATAGGAGATGACAGGAGACAATGAGATTGATTTTATCAAGCACAGAATGTTGTGAGAGGTTTTAAAGACACCGCTCCCCTTAAGAAGTAGCGTGTGAGGAAAACCCAGGTTGTATCGGGGAGGAGGAGGCTGCAGGAGAATTAACACAGGAGTCAAGGGTCTGAAGCAGAAGGGTGTGAGGAAGCTGAGAGTGACTGGGGAAACGAGGTGCCTATTCATTCCGGGAGGATCCAGGCCAGCGTGAGCCTTGCTCTCAGAGAGACCCAACAAGTAAAGGAACACACTACCCTCTGGGTGCACAGTGGAGTGTGTGCTCTCAGAGTAGCAAAAGGCAGAGACTTCCAGCGTGAAACAGGGGTAGTTGCTGGCTCTTTCCGATTAGGAGCGTTGCAGACTGAGGCCAGAAGCACCAGGAGGGAGCAGCTGAAAGCAACTTGAAGCAATAGTTCCAGTTAGACAAGAGTATGTGCAAAGGCCCTGAGGCAGAAACACATTTGGAATGGCAAGACCACAAAGCTGCGTTTAGGGAGTAATCAGAATGGGGACAGGTCTGAGAGGGACCATTCAAGCAACACCAAGGGCTTTCCCTGTATTCTGAATGTGAGAAGGAGAGAACGTGTGTATGTGTGTGTGTGTGTGTGTGTGATCTAAAAATAGAGTAGGGCAGTCTTGTTAATTACATTTTAATTGAGTTTGTGTCTGCTCACACGTGCAGGCCACGGCATCTATGTTCCAGTCAGGACACGTAGGTCTTTCTCTCCTTTCACCCTGTGAGTCCCAAGGATCAAACTTGGGTCATCAGGCTTGGTGACAAGCCTTTACCTGCAGAGCCATCCCACTGGCTCTCGATTGACAGTCTTCTGGCTTCCGATTAGAAAGAGATGGAGGTCAGCCCGGGCTGGATGTGGGAGAGAGGTTTGAGGACCTCTCCAGAGAAGGCATTGGCTAGCTGTTCCCAGGAACTGTGAGATTCAGAAACTAGTGTTAGGTTCAGAGAGTTGGGGGATGGGGCAGGAGGGACCGCCTGTGGACATGCCACCTACAAAGGATTGATCAGAGGGACACATTTTAGTCTAGTTAGAAAAATAAAATGAATATTAGCTGGAGAGACGGCTCAGTTGATAAAGGCCTGGCCGTTTAGATGTATTTAGATCCCCAATACACACATAAAAGGCTAGGCGTTGGCTGATGGTATCTCTGATCCCAGTGCTGGAGAGTCAGAGGCAGGAGGATGCCTGGAGCTGACCCTGTCTCAAAACTTAGGTGACCAACAGAAGGAGACACCCAACGACATCAACCTCTGTCCCATGGTGCACACTCTCCATATGTGTATACGCAGAGCCACACACAACAGTATCATCTGGGAGTTTGGGGTGCAGCGGGAGGGTCCACCCCAACAAACGAAAACCTTTAGAAGTTGAACTGGATCTGGCTGGAAGTCACAGAACCTAGGCTGAGCCCTCCGGAGTAATTCTGCTTGTGGAACAAAAAGGTTCTGGCAATGTGGCTTATTCAGGGAGGAAGATAAAGGTGGCGTTTGTTTGTTCTGTTCATGTATTACTTCTGAAGAGATCGCTAGGCCTTTGCTGAATGGTGGTATAGCTTGATAGAGGCACACCCCACTATGAGGATAGAGGCAGAAGGTGGGACAGAAACGCGGTGTGTGCATGAAGTCTTTACGGTGAAGGTGACAGTCGAGAATGGGAGAGACAGACAAGAGAGGAGAGAAACTTGGGGTGTGGTTCAGCTTGCTTAGCTCAAAGGCTTGGATTCTGTCCTCAGCAGAGAGTGGACTAGGAGGAGAGAGGGAAGGAGAGAGGGGGTAAGGGAGAGAAAAGGGTAGAGGAAGGAACACTGGGGAAGGAACATACAAACTATTTTTGGGGTTTGCGCTACGCCAAGACATAACAGGCAGCTTGGACAGGTGGCTAGGGCTAGCGGTTTAGACCGGGTGCTGTGAGGAGGCCTCTCTGTGGATCTGGGTTTGCAAAGCGTTACAAAGGCCTGAGGGAGGACACTGGACAGCAGCAGTGCAGAGAGGCCAGAATTAGCTTGGCACATTGGAGGTACAGAAGGTCAGTTGGCTGAAGGGGCCTAAGGCAGAGGGCAGGTGCAAAAGATAAAGGGTACCAGATTGTCCATAGCCTTGGGCACCACAGGGAGGCCCGTGGACAGTGCTGTGTACAGGATGGGAGCCAGAGAAAGGTTCTTAGCCAGGAAAGGGTGTGACGTTCGTGGATGGGGAGAGACTCCTGACTCACCGTGCTCGGTCACTTCTCTGGATATGTGGGATACAGTCTTCACTTCACCAGTCCATTCAGCACATGCTGAGGCCCCTGTGGACACGCGCCAGGGCCCCATCCAAGAAACAGACGTGCCTTCGAGCACTCTCCCGGCTGGCCTCAGATTGGACAGAGCCTGTTCATGGCTCCGTTTTGTAGATGCAAGTACACAGAACTTACATTTTAAAAGATCTATTATTTTATTATTTTTAAATTATGTATATTTATGTACGTCTGTGTGTGGGTACACACAACGTGAATATGGGTGCTTGAGAAGCCCAGAGTTGTCAGGTCACCCTAGAATGAGAGTTATAGGCAGTTGTGAGCCACTCAAGGAGGATGCTGGGAACTGAGCTTCGGTCCTCGGCAAGAGCGGCATGTGACCTAAACCACTAAGTCATCTCCCCAGCCTCCGGAACTTTTTTTTTTTTTTTTGGTTTTTCGAGACAGGGTTTCTCTGTGTAGCCCTGGCTGCCCTGGAACTCAATCTGTAAACCAGGCTGGCCTCGAACTCAGAGCCTCTGGAACTTTTTAAAGAAACATTTGTGAGTTTCTGAAACAAACAAACAACGATAACAACAAAAACACAAAAGATTTCTGGCATATTTATGTATTTGAGACAGGGTCTCACTGTACACTCCCAGGTGGCCTAGAACTCCTGTTTTAGACCAGGTTGTCCTAGAACCCACAGAGCTCCATCTGCTTCTGTCTCTCGTATGCTTCGTATCTGGCCGGGCTTTTTAGATAAAAATTAAAAAGAAAAATTTACCTCTTGGAATTTGACTAGGCTGTGTCCATTCTATCTGTGTGTGTGTGTATGCGTGTGTGTGTGTGTTTGTGTGCGTGCGCACATGTGCACACATACAAGAAGAAGCTGATGACTGACTTCAGGGCCTTGTGTGTGCTGAGCCAGCATCTACTGCTGAGCTATGTCTCCAGGAGCTACGGTGGAGACAGGTTCTTGCTATGTAGATCAAGCTGACGGGGACTCCTCCATGTAGTCAATCCGTCCATCCATGGTAGCCTCAGATTCCCAAGCACTGAGGCGACAGGCGTGTGCTACCACACCCAACTCACTATGCCCATAATTTGACCTGGTAACTGGGGCCCAGAGCCTTAGCAGGACCCTTGAATGTACAGCTATGAAGGTACTGATTGTGCAGTCACTCTCTTTCTAAGGGTGAAATTACCCAATTGTCCAATGTCTTAAGGCACTGGGGATCTATGTGTTACTCATTTAGCACCCTCCTTATGTTGAAACCTGCTAGTTTTCCAGACAACACCTGTGTGTTGACTGTGGCCTGCGTGCCACCAGTTCAAACCATGGATTCAAGACTCTTTAAAGGCAGCATCCTAGAGTCTCCTCCCCTCGTGACGCAAAGGGGAGGCAGCTTGCCTAGGGTGAGTCAGGACTTCTTTTCTCCAGCTTTTACCTTCTTCGATCCCAATGACCCTGCGTGTCAGGAAATTCTCTTCGATCCGAAGACTACCATCCCAGAGCTGTTCGCCATTGTACGCCAGTGGGTTCCCCAAGTCCAGCACAAGATAGACGTCATTGGCAATGAGGTAGGAACACCTCGGGAGGCTGGGGAGGGAGGAGATGGTTCCCCGTGTTTGGGTCATCCTATGTTGTTTTTTTGGTGCTCGCAGATTCTGCGTCGTGGCTGCCACGTGAACGATCGTGACGGGCTCACAGATATGACACTGCTCCATTATGCGTGCAAGGCTGGGGCCCATGGAGTTGGTAAGAGCCCAGACCCTAAAACCTAGGCTCCCAGCCCTGATACCCTCAAAACCACCGAGGACTCAGGCCCTAAAAGCCCATCCGGACACTGCTATCCAAGACCCCAAAGTGTATAACCGAGACACCAGGGTCCCTCCCGAAGTGTTGGAAAAATGGGCTTCCAAGCTGACTCTGGCTCTTTGCAGGGGACCCTGCGGCCGCTGTGCGTCTCTCACAGCAGCTGCTGGCACTGGGCGCGGATGTGACCTTGCGCAGCCGCTGGACCAACATGAACGCACTTCACTACGCCGCCTATTTCGACGTGCCCGACCTTGTGCGCGTGCTGCTGAAAGGGGCGAGGCCCAGGGGTGAGGAGGCAGAGTCTCACTGGGATGAAGCCTGGATGAAGGGTGGAGTTTCTTAGAGGAAGGAGGGTGCGCAGGGATTTGAGAGTATGGGGGCCACCATTTATCTGGTTAACAGGCGGCGGGGGGGGGGGGGGAGGGTGGGGAACACCCAAGATGAAAGGATTAAAGAACTGAGGCCTAACCTTGAAGGGTGCTGGGATTCAAACAGGAAACAAGGGATAGATAGGCATGCTCGAGCATGCAGGATGGCGGGAGTCTGGGGAGTTGGTGCAGGTATGTGGTGATGGGCTCCGATACAGGATGGACAAAGGTGGGATAGAAAGGCAGGTTGAACAAGATGCTTGCTTAGAGACCAGGAGCCCTGAGCGGGGTGAGGCTCCATGCAGATGTTGAAGATGGTCACTCACTCTTACCCTTCCCTTCCCTTACCCCTCGCCAGTGGTGAACTCCACCTGCAGTGACTTCAACCATGGTTCAGCTCTGCACATCGCTGCCTCGAATCTGTGCCTGGGCGCCGCCAAATGTTTACTGGAGCATGGTGCCAACCCAGCACTGAGGGTACTGCCACCCACTCCTTCATCCCCTCCCTCCTGCCCTCCTCTTCCCTTCAGCAGGCCTCGGCAGAGAGAGGATCAAGCCCACACTTAAAACATTAGGAAAGCTCTGCATGTTAAACAAATGAAGTCAAACCTGAGATTCACGTAGTGTCCAACAGATCACGTCTGTTTACTGTAAGCCCCGTCTTACGATGGGGAGTCTGAGGTGAAGAGATCAGAAGAATAGCCCAGGATGTGCTAGGAGGGGTGTTTCTCTTTCAGTCCTGGGTGACCAGGATCAGTGATGTAACAGGCTCCAGCCTAGAGTCTAGATGGTTGACTTTGAGTCTCGGTCTTTTCTTATTGTTTGGTTTTGAGATAGCGTCTCACTATGTACATAGCTCTGGCTGGCCTGAAACTCTCTGTGTAGACCAGGCTGTCCTCAAGCCCTCAGAGATCTGCCTGCTTCTGCCTGCTTCTACTTCTGCCTCCCTAGCTCTGGAACTAAAGGTGTGTACCACTGCTCTCTGCTTTTTTTTTTTTTGTTTTTTTTTTTTTTTTTTTTTTTTTTTTTTGGTTTTTTCGAGACAGGGTTTCTCTTATAGTCCGGGCTGTCCTGGAACTCACTCTGTAGACCAGGCTGGCCTCGAACTCAGAAATCCGCCTGCCTCTGCCTCCCAAGCGCTGGGATTAAAGGCGTGCGCCACCACTGCCCGGCTTTTTTTTTTTTTTTTTTTTGGAGACAAGGTTCCACCATGTAGCCCTAGCTGGGCTGGAACTCCCTCTGTGCACTTGACAGACGTGCACCCCTACATTTCCCAAATCGGCCTAGGGGGTAACCTATCATAATTCCTGCTTTACCCAATCTGGGGGTCTGATCTGTGGTCTCCAAAGGCCTATGCTTGTCCCACTCAGTCCCTATTTCTTGTGTTCTCTATGATCCACAGAACCGGAAGGGACAGGTACCAGCGGAAGTGGTCCCAGACCCCATGGACATGTCCCTTGACAAGGCAGAGGCGGCCCTGGTGGCCAAGGAACTGCGGACACTGCTAGAAGAGGCCGTGCCACTGTCCTGCACCCTGCCCAAAGTCACACTACCCAACTATGACAACGTCCCAGGCAATCTCATGCTCAGCGCGCTGGGCCTGCGCCTAGGAGACCGAGTGCTCCTGGATGGCCAGAAGGTCAGGGGCTGGGGTGAGGAGTGGGGAGGACTCGGCTCTCGCATCCCTCCCGGAGCTGGGTGCATGGGCTGCAGACAGGCTTCCCTGGTAGTCACACCATACTTCATTTCTTCTAGAAGTTGTTGTCAACGCACTCCATTTATGTGATGTATACCCGGTGCTGAGCTCTGAGAGGCCTGTCCCCTGGTCCCCTGACTGTGACAGCTCATTGCAGTCACAGCTGAAACAGTGATTAGCATAACTGTCTGCACACTGTGTGACCCGCTTCACCCTCGGGTGCAAAGTCAGGGCTTTCACTGGGATGTTATAGGCTGGAAAGCCTCAGGGTAGAAACTAAGTGACCCAGGAGGAGAGAAGCAGAAGTGTCTTCAGTTAAAGCAAGTAGAGGCGGGGCTGGGGAAGAGGCGGGGCTGGGGAAGAGGCTCCACCCACACACCTTAGCTTTCATTCCCTAGCCTGTTGTCCCTCGTGTCAAGCCCAGTTGTTCTTTAAGACAGAGGGTCGTGTCAATTCCAGCTCTGCTCTCCTGGAGCTCTGCTGATAATGGAGAGGACAGTGAAGCACTGCTGTGGCTCTGGTCATTCCCGGCGGCGGCAAGGACTGTGACAAACATTCGGTGCCTTGATTTAGGAAACAGACCCCGGCTGGAGGCAGGAGAGGTTTTAGCTGGGGTGTTCCGAGAAGGCTTCCCTGAGGACAAAGCTGAGAAAGTAGCTCCCATAGGCCTGACTGCTGACAGGAAGAAACGGTGTGAAAGCAGAGGAATTCTGGGAGGAGGGGAGCTCGAGAGCTCGGAAGGGGCTGGACCGCACCAGACCTGCAGACCTCTGAAAGGAAGTGGGATTTTGGTATTTTGTTCAGTGAGAAACTGAGTAAGTCATGTTTGTAACAGAAAGCTCCTGGGTTCATGGTCCCGAGGAAAAGGTGCTTGCCATGCAGGTATGGCAACCTGAGTTCCAACAGCAGAATCCTTATAAAGTAGAACTGGTGCAAAGACGTTCTCTTCTAACTCGCACACATGGACCACGGCAATAGCACAGCCCCCTCACCCATACACACACCATTCACGTGTGCGTACATACAAGAATGTGCACACTCACGCTCTAATATTACTACTACTAGTAGTGCTTTTTGGGTTTTTGTTTTGTTTTGTTTTGTTTTTTGAGACATGATCTCTCTATATAGACCATGCTGGCCTCAAACTTGGAGATTCATGTGCCTCTGTCTTCCGAGTGCTGGAATTAAAGGCATGTATGACCACACCTGGCAGTCATTTATTATTTTTTTTCTTTTTTTTTTCTTTTTTCTTTTGGTTTTTCCGAGACAGGGTTTCTCTGTGTAGCCCTGGCTGTCCTGGAACTCACTCTGTAGACCAGGCTAGCCTCGAACTCTCGAACTCAGAAATCTGCCTGCCTCTGCCTCCCGAGTGCTGGGATTAAAGGCGTGCGCCACCACTGCCTGGCTTATGATTATTTTTTTAATTTCAGGATAAAATATATCTTATCTTGAGACAAGAGTCTCACTGTACAGGTAGCCTTGGCTGGTCAGGAATTACCAATTAGATGAGTCTGGTCTCAAACTCCCAGAGATCTGTTTTGGCCTCCCTGGTCCTGGGACTAAAGGTGTGCGCCATCGTGCCTGGCTGACAACATTTTTTAAAGAGCTCACCATGACCCATCCAGAAACCTTCCTGTAACTCAGTGGACGGTTTGAGGGTATGGGTTGACTCTGCATTTCATATCCCAGAAGAGGTTTGCCTTTTGTCCTTAGCTATGGAATACCTAACACGGCTAAAGCAACAACCAGTTTAGGCTTGCACAGTTCAGTTCAGCTTAGTCACACAACAGAAGCAGGTCCTGGGATAGTGGATAGTGACCCTCCTTATGTCTGTCGGTCTCTCTACCTAAAAATGAGATGATAGTGTCCACCTCAGGCAGATTGGGGGTGCATGTCGGAACATCTGAGGCCTTTAGAAGAGAGCCTGGACTGTGCTAACTGTTCTTTGTGTGCCGAGAACACAGTCTCCAGCCCCAATAGAATATTTAACAGGCTAGCTCTGCCAGTCCCTCTGTCTGTGGTGCCAGAGATAGAGCTATATATACCAGGCAAGCACTCTGTCACTGAGCTGCATCTCCGGTTTTAATGAGCCTGTTCTATAGACAAAGAACTCACGGCTAGCAGGAGAGCCAGAGTAACCCAGTGGTAGAATGCTTGTCCAGCATGCGTGAGCACTGCAGAGAAACAATGAATGGCTGTGTGTGGTGGCACATTCCTGCAGTCCTAGCTCTCAGGAGGCAGGAGCAGGGAAGTCAGAAGTTCAGGACCAGCCTGGGCTACTTGAAACCCTGACTCAAAAAGAAAAAAAAAAATGATGAATACAAGGAGGCCTTACAAGATTATCATAACCACAGTCACTGAGAATTCTCTACAGCTAAGTTTTTTTGTTTTTTGTTTTTGTTTTTTTTTTTTTTCGAGACAGGGTTTCTCTGTATAACCCTGGCTGTCCTGGAACTCACACTGTAGACCAGGCTGGCCTCGAACTCAGAAATCCGCCTGCCTCTGCCTCCAAAGTTTTTTTTTTTTTTTAAATATGTATATAGATATGTTTTAAAATGCGTGCACAGGAGTGCAGTACTTCAGGAATCCAGAAGAGGGCACTGGATCCCCAGAGCTACCGGCACAGGTGGTTGTGAGCCTCCCTGCATGGGTACCGGGAACCAAACTTCTGCTATCTTAACATCAAGTGCTCTTAACCACTGGGCCGTGTTTCCAGCATCTTTATGTATCTTAAAAAATGATCCGTCCCCTACTCTTAAGCCAGGCGTGATGCCACATGCCTGAAATCCCAGCACTGGGGGAAGACTAAGTCAGGAAGAGGTCCAGGCCTAGCTCAAGCGGGGCAGGGAGGGGGCACAAATAACTGAGACAGGGTCTCACTCTGTAGCCTAGGCTAGACTGTGTAATCAAGGTTGGCCTCGAGCGTCCTGCAGTTCTTCTGCCTCAGCATCTAAAGTGTTGGGGTTGCAGACACGAGTCACCAGGCCTGGCATCAAATTTTTAGTTGTATGTCACCTGTGGCTATGACTGTTCACTGCAGTAGGTAAGACAGTTCTGAGACACTTTTGTTGTTGTTGTTGTTGCTTATGGGGATGGAGCCCAGGGTCTTAAGCATAGTGGCAAGCACTCTACCATCGAGTTCTATATCCCAGTCCCCTTAACATCTTTATTAAGTGGATGCAATCTTCGTTCCCATTTGGTGGATGAGGAAGCTGAGGCATAAAGAGACCTACGTAGTCACATAGCTGATAAGGGCCAGAGCTGAGATTTGAACCTGGTTCCTGCAGCCATTCTGCCATGCTGCCTGTCTGTCAGTGGTCCACCACGGTCTCCAAGGGCCCCTGCCCAAACCGTGTCATCCTTGTCTCTCCAGACGGGTACGCTGAGGTTCTGCGGGACCACCGAGTTCGCCAGCGGCCAGTGGGTGGGCGTGGAGCTCGATGAACCGGAAGGCAAGAATGACGGCAGCGTTGGGGGTATCCGGTACTTCATCTGCCCTCCTAAGCAGGGTCAGTCTCTAACCGTGGCCCAGGCCGGCGGCAAGGGGGCATGGGCAACTCTGATGCCGGTCTGAGGAAAGGGGATGGGGTGGAGACACAGCAAAGGCCAAGGGTCTCTTTTGACTTGAGCGGTGCTAAACCCAGTCGCTGCCTCCTCCCCAGGTCTCTTTGCATCTGTGTCCAAGGTCTCCAAGGCGGTGGATGCACCCCCCTCATCTGTTACCTCCACGCCCCGGACTCCCCGGATGGACTTCTCCCGTGTGACTGGCAAAGGCCGAAGGGAACACAAAGGTCAGGAGTGTGGAATCAGATGGGTGGGAAGAGGCAGTCTTGGGAACACTGTGTGGGAGGCTCGGCTTCTGCGATTCCGTTCTTCCTCAGTTCCTGCTGTAGAGAATAAGCTGACTCCCTACTTCAGTGGCTTGGTTTCTAATCTGACCCACCACTGGCCCAGGCCAGCTTTTAGAAGGACCTCTGGGGTTCTCAGCCTCCTGAGACTTAGGCTCAACTCTCAGGCCTAAAGACTTCTCCCAATCTTAGGGAAGAATCCGTCTCTAGGGGTTACCGTTTCCGATGTTTCTGGCTTTTATGAATAGAGGTACTCTCAGACTCTCTCTGATGTACGTGTCCCTGTATGAACAAATGTTGGCGGGGGTGCTCTCATAAATATAAGCCTGCTTGTGTGGAGATCCGCCTGCCTCTGCCTCCTGAGTGCTGGGATTAAAAATGTTCACCACCACTGCTTGGCTGGCTTCCACTTACTTTTTGTGAGACAGGATGTTTCACTGAACATAAGATCATACATATGTCTGGCTAGCCTGGCCAGCACACAAGCTCCAGGGACCTGCCCATCTCCACCTTCTTGGTGCCCGTGACTGCACCTGGCTTTTCACATGGCTGCTGGGGATCCAAACTCAGGTTCTCAGAGTTGAGCTGAGTGCAACCTTACTTATTTTCTAGATGAGGTCCCATGGGGTTGCACAGGCTGATCTTGAACACCTTGGCTCGCTAGGCGATGGTGGCGCACACCTTTAATCCCAGCGCTAGGGAAGCAGAGGCAGGTGGAACTCTGTGGGTTTGAGGCCAGCCTGGTCTACAGAGTGAGTTCTAGGGCCACACAAACCCTGTCTCAGAAAACAAAAACAAAAGTAAAAAACCCACCTTAGCTCAAGTGATCTTGTCTCAAGTCTCCTGAGACCTGGGATGATAGACTCTCACCACTACCTTCAACTCCCTTTCTTTTTCTGTCTGGTCACCCTAGGGGTTGTATTCAGGACTTGAATATATGCTAAGCAAGTGAGCTTATCCTGAGTCGTGCCTCCAACTTTCTTCCCTGCATTATCAAAGGGAAATTCTGGGGCTCCTGACTTCTGCCTCCGTTTTTTTTTTTTTTCCCCCTTTGGTCTCCATATCTTTACCTTTCATTCCCAGGGAAGAAGAAGTCCCCATCTTCCCCATCTCTGGGCAGCATGCAGCAGCGTGATGTGGCCAAAGCTGAAGTTGGAGACCAAGTCCTTGTGGCAGGCCAGAAGCAGGGGACTGTACGCTTCTATGGGAAGACCGACTTTGCTCCAGGTGAGGGTGGGCCATGGCTGAGGTGTGGCTCAGATGCACAAGGCCCTGGCTTGCATCCTCAGCACTGAGCTTAAGGCCTCTTCGCAACACCCTGTTGCAGGTTACTGGTATGGCATCGAGCTGGATCAGCCCACAGGCAAACATGACGGCTCTGTGTTTGGTGTCCGGTACTTTACCTGTGCCCCGAGGCATGGGGTCTTTGCACCAGCATCTCGTATCCAGAGGTGAGTCTCCCTGTGCCCTTCCACTTAGTCCCCCAGGATGGTCCTTTTGGACTGGCATGACATGGTTGCTTGTTGTACTGTTCCTGTTTCCCTTGGGCTCCTGGGGTTTCATTCAGCTCTTAGCCCATCATGGTTCTGAGTTTTCTATATGTCTCCCTAGGATTGGTGGGTCCGCCGACACCCCTGGAGACAGTGTTGGAGCCAAAAAAGTGCATCAAGTGACAAGTGAGTTGGGGCCCGAGATGCAGGAAGGAGTATGGGTATCAGGATGGGAGAAGGGCTGTGGGTTCTCAGCTCTGTGAGTGACTATCTCTGGCATTTGACACATGTGACCAGAAAAATATGAGACAGGGTCCCAAGAAAAAGAGGTACTGTAGACATGGGGACGTTAACATGGGTGTGAGGATTTGGAATACAGTTCAGTTGTCTAGAATCCCCAGTGAGGGGCTGGGGGCGTGGCTCAGTGGCAGAGCCCCTGCCT